GACACCAACCAGGACTCCTCTGGTCAAGCAGAAGGGCAGTGAGAGAGAGGAAGCTCCTCGAGGGCATCGTGGGAGGCCGGCACAGGGCAGGGCGGCGTGTCCTTCTGTTGCGCATGGGGTCGCTATGGGTCAGAATGGATTGGACAACACCTAACAGCAACTCTCCACAGTAGAGTTCTTAGACCTATGAGCTTTCGATTCAGAAAGAAAGAAAGAAAAGAAAAAAATCCATGTGGAGAAGTCATATTATCTAAATAATGACCATCCTTGGAACTTCAGTTCAGTCCTGTGGCTTCCTTGGTGATGCAAACAGTTCAGCGCTTGACAACAAACAGGAAGGTTGGCAGGGGTAGCTCACCCAGAGGCATCTTGGAAGGCAGGCCTGGTGATCGATCGATCGGCTTCTGAAAGGTCTCTGCTCCTGTGCTCCACAGCACATGGAGCTGCTCTGGGTTGGGACGTACTTGATTACCGCTAACAACAAGAACAGCACTTCCACTATAAATATTTCACGCACCAGAGCATTGCTCCCCAACTCCAGTCACTTGCAACTTCAACTTACTCACTTCAAAGAGCAGGAGAGACTTAATGCCTAACATGGTCTCTGGTGGAGTTGGGAGTTCCTGGCGTGCGTACAGCTGAGCTCTTGGCTGCTAACCAAAAGGCGACTAGTTGGAGTCTACTTGGAGGTGCCTTGGAAGAAAGGTCTGGCGATCCTTTCCCCAAACCTCAGTGTTAAAAATTCTATGGAGCACAGGACTACTCAGACAAACATTAGATCGCCCTGAGCGCAAATAAACAGACTCAATGGCAACTTACAAAACAATCCTTTGTATCAATGGGGTTTGAAAAGATACAATTATTAGCAACCACATGGTCATCCCCGCTGCAGCTCTGATATGGGGTGCTCAGCAGCTAGAGCTTTTAATCCTGAAGGGGGACAGCTGGCCGGTAATGAGACAGAGTGAGCTCGATTCCCATAGCAACTTTGACAGTCTGGTGGTTAAAACTTCACCCAGTAATACTTCACACGGTTTTTTATTTTTAAAGAGAAAAGAGGCAGTGGGAATATACACAGTTGTTGCCTCTGGCAGACGTTCCTTTAAAAATCCCCGACAAACTCTTCTGTCTAAGGGGGCTTTTGGAGAAAGAGGAAAAGAAAGAAAGAAAAGGAATCAGAACACAGCAGCAGGCCTTTTGAGGGATCACAGATGTCTCTTTCCAGATTGACGGAGAGCTGTCGTTTTTTTCTTTGTTAGCACGTCTTTAAACGTGTAGCTGGCAGTACATGAGGTTATTCTTGGTGCTCTAACCAATCACTACAACTGTAGTGACTTACAACAACACAAACGTACACATAATTGGTAGTCTAAGTTCACTGGGTAACATCAAAGTGCTGGCAGGCTGTGCTCCTTCTGTAAGCTCCAGGGGAGGAGGTGGGCCCTTGCTTTTTCAGGTGTCTAAGAGGGTGCCTGCATTTCTTGGCTTATGGACCCTTCCCCGATCTTCAGGGCCAGCAGCCTAATAACTTCTATCCTATCTGACCTCTGCTTTCTATCCTTGTATCTTCCTTTGATTCTGTTGTAAGGAATTGTGTGATTGACTGACTAAACTGGGTTCATGCTGAGAATCCAGGATAATCTTCCCACCCCAGTAACCCGAACTTACTTACGCCTGCAGAGTCTATAAAAGCTGTCATGGCCACAGCTCTAAGGAATAGGAGGAGACGCTGTTGGGAGTCATTATCTAGCCTAACACAGCTAGCTTGTTTATCTCTAATACAACAACAACAAAACGTTATTTCTAGAGAAATTGGATGGCTGAAGGGCCAGGTGGGCCTCGGAGTGAGTCTGCACCTAAGAATCCCACTGCCAATCCAGAAGAA